GGGGAGGCTTATGTTCACAGGTGCAATGGGATATACTTAACTTAGTATAAATTTATGGGATATTTTGATGGAAAAGTTCTATGTTGGTTTAGAAACGCCCTCTGATTTCATACAAGGGATGGTCGCAGATTAAAGTTGTCAAACCAATTTAAGGATTCATGTTTACCACAGCTTGTTTTCCTTCATTCCTTTTTGCATATTTGTGCCTCATTCACAGATTATCTAAAATCTGTTTTGGATTATGCAAACACGCTTTCACAAGCACCCCTTTAAGCCCCCCTCTCCAAGATATAAAAAAAAAATGTAATTTACCAAGAGGAAGGAGTGTATTAGGGAGATTTCGCTGTGTATATACTCTACCTTAACAACTTATTTCCCTGTAATGCTGTAGTTTGTCACAGATTTCATGTCTCATCTCAGATTAAAAGATGTCAGAAAAATAGAAAATCTTCTGCTTAGCCCCTCCCCCATTATAGCAAAAATGGCAAAATGCCTATTCACTCATTGTCATCAGACTTGATTTTGAATACACAATCTTCTTTATGCTTTATTTATAGACATTCTCCTCTCTCTCTCTCTTTTTTCTCTTTATGTCTCTCTCTCTGTGTTTTTACTGTTTTTACGTTTTCAACATTTTCCTATGTTAAGATCTTATTACGCACAATTATCCCATTATGACAATAATGAGCTATTGACAGGGAAGAAGTTTTAGATTTTTGAAAATGCATTAAAAATAGAAAAAGTAAAGTAACAAAATGTGGAAAAGTGAAACACTATGTTTGGCATGCGTCTATATAAAGCATGGTATGTATGTGACAAGGCACCAGTCAGAGCCGACTGATATGCCATAATGGTTCAGTGTTTTCACATCTGGTCTATACTGTCTATAAAAGGATGCATATTGGACATGCTAATTGCTTCGGGGACATCAGCGCCATCAACTAGCCCCTGCTGTACCCAAGGTACATCACCATGGTGGTAATCCCATTGTACATGCACCATTACCTTCAGCATAAGGCAGCTTTTCTTTACTGCCTGCTGTTTAATCAAAATTGGTGTTAAATATTTGATACTTGCCATCGCAACATACTAATGGATGCATCACGGAGGATTATTATAGAGGGGGACAAAGAACACTCTGGCTCTCCATTAGCAGCATGTCATTACCACTCCGGCAGTAAAAGTTATGATCCGTCCAGATGCAGGACATTTCATATCATTTCTGCCTCCAGATACGCTTGTTCCCCTTTGCTCATCTTCAGATCGCTTTGCTTGATCTGTTTGATGTCTTGAACATACTTCACTGTTAGGGTTTGTTGCGACAAGGTCCCAGCTGTTTGAGTCCTTTTATCTCTCGCAGGTGGCTTTATGTACACAGGTACGTCTTAATAAATCAGAATATGATTAATTATTCTGTCTGCGTCTTAATTCCATATAAACATTGAAAGTCATATTATGTGGGTTCCTTGCAAGACGTTTATTTTTTGAGACTGAGCTGCAGTTTATTAAAACACTTGAACCGAAATAAGAATATGACATAAGAGAAATAAGTAAAGGAGTTCTATCACAGATATGTCAGCATACTGAGAACTGATGTAAAGTTCATTCACTCACTACTTAGTTGTGGCCCTTTTTCATGTTATACTGCGTGTGTTTCATGAAGGCCATCAGCCTGCGGCTCTCCTGAAGTGTTGTGTAAGCCCAGGTTGTTTTATTAACATTTAGCTTGTCTTGTTAGGTGTGATGTCCCTCTATTGACAATATACTCTATATGGGGTTTAGGGCAAGCAGGTTTTCTACTGTGCCACCACGGTCATTAAACCAAGTATCAGTGCTTTTATCAGTGTGGGTAAGTGCTAAGTCCTGCTGTATTTTTAAAAGAACATCTCCATTAAGCTTGTCAGCTGAGGCAAGAATGAAGTGCTCCCACATTTCCTGATAGAAGGGTGCACTGACTCTGGACTTGATGAAGTACAGTAGACCAACACCAGCATGAAGCACTTCCTCCATATCCATCATTTGTAATGGAAACTCCCCACTGAACCTCAAGGAACTTTGATTCGGATCCTCTTGACTCTTCTTCCAGACTCTGGGATATTTTTTCTAATTATATGTGAAATTTACTTGCATGTAAAGGGGGGAAAAAGACTAGATCAACAACACTTCAGTCTCCTTTTTCCTTAGGCCAAGTGAGATGATTTTGATGTCGTCTCTGTGTCGGGAGCAGCTTAACTGTGCAGTAGTTGTGTGTGTGGAAGCCCTGATTCCAGCAGCACTCCACACCGTGTAAATCTCGCCAAAAACTCCTGAATGGACTTTGCTTCACAATCCTTTCCAGGTTGTGGTTAACCCTGTTTCTTATTCGTCTTTTTCTTATGACACTTTTTCCCTTCAATATTTTTGGATTCAGCACTGTGTCAAAAGTACATGTCTTTTATAATGACTTTTTGTGGCTTACCCTCTTTGTGGAGGGGATCAATAAGTTTCTGCTGGACAAGAGGCAACACTTAACCATCTCCTCTATGACTGTTTTGGTCATTATAAAAATCTTTTTTTTTTTCTATTGAGTTATATAATATTCCATTTTGTTGAAAAACTGAATTTGGAGTTTTAATAAGTAAATACCACAATTATCAAAAGTAACAGGAAAACACATACAGTACAAGCATGTGCTGAATCATTTTGAACTGAATAAATTCCTTTTATGTTGTTATAATTTCACATCAATTTTTTTAGCTGTCAAGTGGTAAATGCATTTGTCCCCTGACGTTTGAATCTCTTGTTTGTGTTTTCAAAGATGTGGAATTAACAATTTTATTATTTGCCTTTTATCTCTCGAGGGTTTTTCACCGGACAGAAAAACGTAATCTGAGTAGGCCTAAGTTATTATTCCTGTCCGTCCTCTTCCTCACTGTGTAGCTTTTCACGGATTAATCTACGAGCCAAGGACGCGCAGAATGACCACAGCTTCACGGAATTGAGTCCGAATCTCCCTAATACGAAAAAAAAAAAAACTTTTTATTACAAGCATAATCCCTCTCAGACGATCTGAAATGAGGTTTGTGGAGGCTCTCGAGTATTTGCAGGTAATGTTTCTGATAGTGGTCCAGATTCAGATTTAATCTTTCCTGGTGTAGTAATAATTCAGAGACGGACAGGAGTTCAAAATAGAAAAAAAGGGACAAGACAACTGGAAAAACAGAAAACGGTAGTGAGTGATTTATAACGCCATTGTGGCAGTAATCAAGTTTCTTTTTTTCAAACTGTAGAAATTATTGAGTGGTGTTATTAGCAAAGGTTTATTGATTTATGATCATTTTTCTTTTCTTTTTTTTCATTTAAATCTTTCAAGTATAGATATAAACTCTTCAGGTGGATTCGTGCCTCACAATCACAAGGACAGCTACTTTATTCGACATCTTTTAAGAACTATTTGATTTTAAAAGTTTGCGGGGGTTTTTTTCTTGTTTTTTTTTCTGTCTACCGTCAACATGGATCACACACTACAGTGATCAGCTTATTAGGCTACGTCTGTCCGTAGGAGAGAAAAGAGTTAGTCCATAACGAGATGCTCCACGAGCAAACCAGCACAATCAAAGGGGTTTTATGATCGACCATGTGAACCTCTCTGTCGGGTTTGATCCTACAAATGACCTTTTAAATTAACACAATATTAAGTTAGTGCAGCGGCTCGCTACACAGGGGACAAAGCAGCATTCATCTTCCGCCCCTGCCTCGTTGCTCGGTCTGAACAGCAAAAAAAGTGTTTGATGCCACTTCTGATTAGATGCTGACAATACAGAGAGGATGTCCCCTTTCTTCTGCGACTTGTGGATTTTACTCACGTCTCTCCTCTGAATTATGACCTTCCATTAGTGCTGAGGCTTCAGGCGTTGTGTCAAGATTAAAAATAAAATGAAACAAACTTTGATCAAATGCGCAAATGCAAATGTTTTGTAATTGGCTGAGTGAGTGTTCATATCTCATGTAAATAATAACAAAAGACATGGTCTGTTTGGGAAAAAAAACAACAATGTATTAAAATGTTCCGAAAGGCAAACAGAGGGAGGGCGTACAGTTCGACACGGTGACAAAAAAAATAAAAAAATACATCAAAATTAAGCGCAAAACAGCAGATCCAATCCTAATCACTAATTCCAGGACGATTTCCTCTGTTACATCAGGCAAAAAATCACACAATACACACAATAAACACAATAAAAAAAAAGAAAATAAGACACATCTGACCCATAAACATAATAAATAATAATCCAAAAATGTTGACATAACAAAAATGTTAAATACACAGAGAAATAAATAAATTATGCTACACTACACGATTGCCATACACAAATTCAGCCCGTTTCATTTTGGGCCATTGCTCTTACACGTTGCATCTAGAAATATTTTTTGCATAAAATCTTTTTATCACCATAAAAAAACAATGTTGTGCAAAATGATAGTCGAGTCCACAGCTTGATAGTTCTCACTGCAACAGAACCAGGCAACTCACACTCAGGCCGCCACATGGTCAGTGTGTCTTTTAGTGCATAATAAATGTCCCATTTAGCTGCTGTTAGACAAGCCCCAGAAATCTGAGAGAGGAAAAGGAAACAGAGGAAAAAATAAATGAAAAGCTGTAAATGTCTCTTCTTATAATCAAGAATAAAGCTGACTATACTACAATTAATATTTCAATTTTTATAAGATTTTCTTCCTACAGTTCTTATTATGTAAGGTGTTTTTTTTTGTTTGTTTTTTTTGCACTCTTCTTAATGTGAGGAAAGAAACACTTGAAACACAGCATATTTGGTGAGTCTTCCGTGCCTCATCCTCCTGTGTGTGTGTGTGTGTGTGTGTTTACTTCACTGGTTTCTTCCAGATCAATGCAGCTGGCACTCACCTGCTTCACCTCTTCATGACTGGTCTGAATGCAGTGACCTTGTCGTTCTGCACAGTCCCACAGGCTTCGCTGAGGTCAGATGACTGAATCTCTACCTTGCCACTGGAGAATCCTGCGTGTCCAAGTAAAAGCACACCTCAAGAAAGTTGCTTCAGGTTGGGAACGTGTTGTTTTCTATCATAAAATCAAATGCATTTTCACATTTGAAAAAAAAAAAAAATTGATAAATGCGGTGTTATTTGAATGTTGAGGAAATGAACTTTTGCAGACATACCTTCGATCGTTGTGTACTGACAGGCATCTGGAAGGGGAGCATAAGACGAGCTGTGAAGTTGGAGGCCCTTGTGGCTGTAGCTGCCTGTGCCGTAAACTTTTGAGTGCAAGGATGAGCCCTCAGGGAAAGAGCTTTCTGAATTTGTGACACTGTTAGACTCGAGCAGGCCTCTTGTGGCTCCACATTGTCCAGTAGGAGCCCTAGGAAGTCTGCTGCTCTGTAGTTGACAGTCCCCAGTTAGGCTCCCTGTCCTTAGCTCCGAACCATGCTGCTGAGGATTTAATATAACCCCTGAAGCTGCGGTACGGGCCAACGACCAAATGCGTGGCTTTTCGGATGATTCAAAATGAGACAGGGACACCGCTCCTGCTGACAGGACGCTTGCAGGAGCCGCCTTGGACACAATTGGATCTATGAAATCCGCCGGGAGATGAGGGAGGGCGGCGACACCTTTGATGCTGCAGGGGAAAGTGTGGAAGCTGTTTGTCAAGCTCAAGTGAAGGTCAGAGCTGCAGTCTCGTTTCAGGGGAGCTCCAGGTGCAACCATGGATCTCTGGAGGTCCTGCTCGTCTGCTGCCACCTTTTCACAGTCGCTGTCCAGCTTGTCACAGTCATCCTCATCCATGTCCTCCAGGTCACTCAGGTGCAGCTCTTTCTCTTCCTTGCAGTCACTGGAATCTAGATGAGAGAAATAAACGTGTGCTGTATAAAACTCTGTGAAATACTGGGAAACTGTCCGTAGACTGTGTTGTGATATCAAAGTATTTACCTTTGGTGACACAGTCCTGGTCACTCTTACTAAAGTCCTCCTTTCTGTCATCGTTAGCCTTATTCTTTGGTGACCAGGTCATCTTGTTCTCCTTCTTTAGCCGTCTCCTGGCATTGGCGAACCACGTGGACACCTGGGTGAGGGTCATCTTGGTGATGATGGCCAGCATGATCTTCTCTCCCTTCGTAGGGTAGGGGTTCTTGCGGTGCTCATACAGCCACGTTTTTAGTGTGCTGGTGGTTTCACGTGTGGCATTCTTTCTGCGAGCTGTGCCATTAAAGTCCACCGTCCCGTATCTGCAAAGTGAGACAGGCACAAACACACCATGTCAATCCCTTTTGCTGCATCCTTTAATAATTAGATTTCCATCTCCTGGAGCATCAGTATGTGGTGTAACGCTGATTTCTGTATCAAAGTAAAAGGTGGAGGTGGAAAATGTAGCTTTTAATGTTTAGGTCGTGCAGGATGAACATGGATAAACATAAATGTAGAACTCACCTGTCATATTGATACTGTCCCAGTGAGTGATCATAAGGATAGTAAGCAGCGGTTTGAGTGATGCCAGAGTGTAAAGTGCCTGTGCTGTCCTTAATGTCATACTGTGGATTCTGTTAAAAAAGGAAGAGTTTGTCGTAAGTTTGACTGCTTTTGAGAAATAGTTTTAATGCTTTTAAAAAACAAGATAATTTGAAAGATTTTTTTTGTTGTTGTTTTTGTTTTACTAAACCGACTTGTTTTTAGCTCATATAAAAACAAGCATGCACACCATTTAACTCAAATGGGAATTAGAGCTACAGTTCATGGGTTTCATAAATAGTTTACTGCTGTGACTGTGATTTTTACTGTAAGGCACTATTGCAGACATTAATAGTTGTTTGACCAAACTGTTAAAGAAACAAGGAATTTAAAGTTTAAGCAAGAGTTTTGCCTCCTTTTCTATTTTTTTCTAAGTAATTTTTTTCTGTCAAATTATGAACAAATTTCAATTTTATAAAAAGATCTACAAACAAACAGTAACTTTTTTTCTATCTTTGAAGCAAAGCAGAAAAAGTACATTTCGAGTCTAGACTTATTTATTTTTCTTCATTTCTTCACCTTATTTCATTGGTGCTATTTTCACACTGCCAATTCTAAGGAGATGCTAATATTGCAGCTGGATTAAACTGCCTTTCAAGACCTAATTGTTTGCAGTGTGAGATAAATTGATAAACCTCCTGATCGATCAGCCAAAGCTCCCTCATCCCTCCCACCCCCCTCAACCCGCTTTTGCGCGCCTGTGAAGCCCACCAGAGTGGAGTAGATAGCGGATGGATCGGTGCTGTAGGGGAAGTAGTTGGCGTAGTTCTGGCTGGCTGCGGCCGCAGCGGCGTAAGGAGAGCCGTACATCCCCAGCGCTGCGTTCAGCTCCGTCCGGCTGCTCGCCAGGAGCCGGTTCTCGTAGGAGGGGCAGCAGAAGGAGGCGGCGGCTGCGGCTGCGGCGGTCTGAGAGCTGCCTGTCCCGTCAGAGACCGACCTGGAAATCGAATCGCAGCAAGTCGTACTGGGGTTTGCCGACACGAAAAACTGCATGAAGAGAGTCGTGGATAAATAATGGTCAATAATGGATTCAGCTCTAAAGTGGATATCTGTGACAACTCTGAACTGATTGTGGACTTTGCGCTGCAAAAAAAAAAAAAAAAAAAAAAAAAACTTTGGGGGGGGTGTAGAAGGGGAAAAAAAAAAAATTCTTCTTTAAAAAAAAAAAAAAAAAGGTTTAATGGTCGTGTGCAACCTGCCTTAGTTCAAGGTAAGTCAGCATTCAGAAGATTTCGGAAAAGAGAAACTAGTATTTTAACTCAAAATAATGCACTCTTATTTATGAAATAGCTAATATTAAATAACATATTGTATAATAAGTGAATGTCAGTGTTAATTGTTTTTAAAAGATGTTGAAGCAATAAAAAGTTTTGCGCGTAAAAAGTGACCTGTTTTATTATTTTTTTAACTTTAAAATCACGAACGTGATTCCGATAAATATAAAATGCAGAATGCAGTTAAGCAGTAATAATCCTGCAATTTCATTCCACGAGTTTATCATTCATCCTGATAAAAGTTAAAAAATATAACAAAAACCCACCTAAAAGTTGCTCCATAACTTTTTCTGGAGAGCAACGACTGTCCCCTGATCAACTAGTTTGTCATTCAGAGCAGGAACAGCTTGTGGAAATTTCTAAATGACTTTTATTAGTAGGGGGGAAAAAATATTTTCCTAAACAAGCTTAACACCCACACTGCGCATCAATGTGTTCAATCGGTGACATTCATCTGTATTGTCATTTGAAAAGCACGTGAGTTCATTCATAATTCAGTGTAATTGGACATGGGTGTGTGTATATTGATATTTGGTTTAACAACAAAACCACATGGCGAAAATAGCTGTCAGTGCTATCAGCTCTGACAAACCCTGTCAGTGCTGCGATAAATGATTCGCATTAAAATTAGATCTCAATTACGTGTAATCAGAGAAAATATGCAAAACTCCTGAATTCCTATCTATTTAAACTTAAGAGAAATGAAACGAGAGACGACTTACTTGTGAAGTTGCATTGTAAGGATATCCAAACTGCGAGAAAGACATTGCTGCTTCCTTTGTTACCATCAGGAATATTCTTCACCCTTGATCGATTGCAACCAATTCTACTTCAAATCCATCGTCTTGCACACACTTTCCACGCACGGCCTTTCGCTCAATAATAGATGACTTCAGTCAAAAGGAGGGAGAGTTTGGAGTGGCAGCAGCTGCAGATTGTTTTATATGAATGAATAATCCCCCACAGGATCCGAAAAGAAATGAAATTAAGCGTCATTAAGTGGGAAAAAAAAATGTTGTTGTGTTGGCTGAAGGAGGCTTAAAGGATAAGTAAGTCTTCCAAGTTATGGACTCTGCTTGTGCTATTATTTGTGGCTCTATAGTTCTTTAGCATTCACCCATGCAAGGGTATCAGCGTGACGTCACTGTAATCCCGGAACGGCAGGGGTACCAAGGATAGAATAATGTCTATGCCAATCACATCCAGCGCAGGGTTTTCTTAAGGTGCACTGTACACTTTCTTGTCCTGATTTCTTTTCTTTTGCCCATTTTTTCCCCACCGTGACATACTTTTTGGAATAAGTCCACCACCTTTATTGAACCGCTGAACGCCAAACCTTATCCAAAGTAAAATAAAGAAACATTTAATTAAAAAAAAAAAAATTGTTTGGCACCAAAACATATTTTCACACTCAAGATGTTTAGAACCGTTGTTTTATTTGTAGTCACTTACTTGTAAATTAAGCTAATATATAATGTTGAGCTTTGTTATTATTATTTTTTAATTCCACCCTCTGCTCGCTTCTGGCACTTTGGCCAGAGGTCCATCACGGAGTTAATGACAATGATGTTTCTATCTTTCTCTATTAGAGAGAGCGGGCAGTCCCAGCTTGAGCCGTTAGAAACGTTTTTGGCAGGTCAATAGACCGGTGATTGATGCGCGCCTGGAGACCTACGTGACCATTACGCGTAATGCGTAATTGTATCAATTAACAAATGGATACATGCCCTTGTTTAACCAACGAGTAACAGAGTGAAAATATGCCTTAGAGGTGAAATTCGAAGCGCTGCGCAGGAAAGAAAAAAAAAAAGAAGACATTGGAAGCCGAGCTCCCCAATGTAATTAAATATCCGTGCATGGGGGTGACGAGAATTGCATTTTAATTGAATGATGCTCTCTTGAAAGATGGGTAAGGAATGATGCTGCCTCACGGTAAATGAAACTAGAGATAATTTTAAGCCTTATTAGATAAGCAACTCAACCATCCTGTGCTCTCACTCTCTTCTGTAAACACCAATGAGCTGCGTCCTCTCCTGAGCTGAGCAGCAGAAACAAGGAGGACTGATCACTTCCCCTGTAGGACATTTATTTGTACTCAAAATGACAGTTGGGTCCGTTTCACTGAGTCACATGACCTGTCTGCTTCAAACCGTCTTCAATGGATAAGTTCTCTGTTTTCACTACTGATGCGCTGCGCCTGAATTTCCCAGTGTCCTGATTTCTCCTCCTGATAAATTGTTCTCAGCCCCCCAGGAGACCCGTCTGCGATTGCGCCTTTTCTCTCCAAGGGGCGCTAAAGAGCCGCGTGTGCCAGATGGAGATCTCTCTTCAGAGATTCTGTACGGAGATAAAGTGGACACAATGTGGCCATTTTAAAAAGACACAACTTTAAGCACAGCACACAGTTGTTGCAGTCGAGCTTTTCAGTCAGGCAAGTGAAAGTAAGCAGAAGACTTGTTGAACAGAATTTATTTCATGACTATTTCTAACGTTT